CACACACACTCTCACACACACTCTCACACACACTCTCACACACTCTCACACACACACTCGCACACGCAACTCCATGACTAACAGACATTACATAACACAACTACTACTTACCTAAATAACCTTTATCTAACCTTATCTTAAAACACACGTACTTTTTGCCACCGTAATGTGACTTTCTAAATAAAGTCCCCACAACCTGAATAATACACACACGTAGTTTCTTACCAGGCAGAGTAGCCACAGAAGAACGTAACGAATCTGTGTCTTGGAAAATAAGTCATGTCCAAATTTCACACAGGTGAGAGCCTCCAGGGAAGCAATGGCTCTGAGGAGAAATATAACAGCACAGTTAGATGGATGCTTTTCCTGCTCTGGAGATTTTAAACACAGGCCGATGTATTTAACAATGCCTCCCTCTTTTAGCAATGCAATTTAATGACAGTGAAGCTTCTCTGTAGATGTGAAACTCATTTGAAATATAGTGCTCCGTATTTATGGTTTCTCAGCTATGAGGAAAACTTGCAGTGTGACCTTTCGTCATGTAGAAGGGTTTTCACTGCAGGAGTGAACCTCAGACAGAAGAGTCGTGTCTTTGTTCTGTATTTCAGACAGAGCCTGTACCGTTACCATGGAAACTGGAGCAGACAGAGGGCATCAGCCACTTTGTGTCTGAGATGAGGTCAGTAACTATATAATGTGATGAATTTCAATTGGCTAGTAAAAGAACAGGTTGAAAATGGAATCTTAATACAGCTACTTCAGTACTCAACATTTCAGATAAAATGACAGAATTGAATAATTACCAAAATAAACACAGATGAAAAACTACTACCACTGACATTTTACTTTGCTCGTTTATCTCTAAATATCACTGTCAACACATATCAACAGGAAGAGATGAGCATGTGGCACTATTCCCGTTCTCATCTGGATTTGTTTGATCAAACATCCAACCAGTGTGGGCACGGCTGCTTCATTGTGATATAGAATATACCAACAAGGTCAATGATCACAGTTGGTTAAGTTCACTTTTCAGATGACTGATATATCCCTTAAGTATTGTGAATTCACTGACAGATGGTTTAAAGACAATTTTACCCAAAATGTGATAATAAAAGAGCAACTTTTGAAAAACTAGCATTAATGTAACTTTCTAACATGTTTACAGACACTAAAGGGAGTGAAGTGACAGAGATACTCACCCAAACACCCAACATTGTGTGCCAACTCGTTTGCACTGAGTGTCTGTCAGATATGCATAGTACTGCCTGAAAAAAAGTAATGCATTTTTTGTTTCTTAACCAGAACAACCCAAACATTTCACATCTTCATACACACCAGAGTGCATTAGTATCTGTTACTTACCGAACAGTGGGCGCAGTGATGGCTCCAAGAAGGAGGATGCGACACCAGCTGAGAGGGTGAGAGGCCTGGAAGACGAAGATGTGTTTGAGGAAGAAGGTGTTCAGCTCCGTCAGCTGTGAAGATAAGAGGCGTAGGACAGACAGGACTGAATATGATTCTCCATAGATGGACTGGCCTGACAAACAGGGAGAGCAGGACAGCGCTGTGAAGAGGGGGGCTGTAGTAGGATGTGTGATTAATCGCTTAATATAAAAGAAATAATCAACAGATCAGTAGTGAAGGAAAATGTTCCTCATAGCCCTAAAATCAGGCTTTTTTGTCACAGCCTACCTGCCATAAGATCATGAAGAGGTAGATGCCTGCAAGTCTCTGGAAGGATGACTTTGGGTCGAACCAGCGCACGTAGGTCCAACTGGCCGGGGTGAACTGGAGCACGGCTCGCTTTATTTTCCCTGTGGTGGTGTGGATTTCCCTGAACAGACACAGTGTGAGCACAGTTCTTGTTCCAAGTGATGTTATTTCTATACATTTCTACGAGTTCCCTTTCAGGTTTCCTCTGTGTTATGTTCAAAAATTCTCTCAACTATGTTTTGGGGAATTTTTATTAATGGAGTCTTTTCAACAGGAGGATAACTTGAGGATACCATTGATTTTTAAATTTTGGGTCCATATACAGTGTATATCATTTTAGAGAAATCAACTGGAAAGAAAAACGTTGCACTGACTTGATACTGGCCCAGCGGTAAGTCCTCATCTCCAAAAAGCGACAGGCGGTCATTCCCAGCCAGATGCCTCCTCCGTTACACAACAGTATGTCCAGTATCACCTGATCCCACCAGCACTCCGCAAAGTTTGGCAGAAGGTGCATGAAAAACAGCTGTAAAAAAAAAATCATTAAAATGTAAAATTAGAATGGCTTCATTGATTTAACATCTTGTTGGACCATTGAACTCTGTGAAACAGTCTGTTCTGTGATGAGTAAATCTGGTGTCAGGCTCAATCTTGTAATCTAATCCCACTGTCAAGAGTTGGCAGCAGTCGAGGTAACAGATCTGATCATGTGCACAAACACTGCTTTGTTAAGAGGGTTTTTCCCCAATCGTTTCCTGTTGCCTGCACAGACTGAGCAGAGGCACCGTTGTTCTATTGTATGAGCTGCAACTACAAATTAGAGCTGATTAGTTTTTTTACATGTGCTTGCAGACGTTCCAGGGGGTTGAATGTTGTCTCGTGCTGGAACTTCAGATTAATTTGTGCATAATTTACATCAGAAACTTTACAGTAGACACACGTTACCTCTGTTAGTTCCCAGGTGATGCTGATGGTCCAACAGAGGCCGTAGCTGCGGATGAGCAGAGCCTTCATGGCCCAGCCGGCAAAGTGGCCGAACGCAAAGATGTCGAAGTGGCTCAGGATGCGCTCCCATGTTATCGTTGTGCAGTTTACAGCATATTCCTGTAGAATAGAAAAGAAGATTTACTGAGCCCTGAAATCACAATGGCCACCAAAAGAAGAAATCTAATTTTAAGACTATTCCTCAAACTGAAATATTCCTACGTATTGATCTTGTGTCCTATAAGAAAAGCAAAATATGCTTTATATAACTCTGCTGAACTGTACTTCCCATCAGCGCATTAAGGATGGTGGTGTTACATTGTACAACAACAACGTATGCTCTCATGTTTAAACAATAGTTTGTTTACTGAAGAAGTCCTCTAGTTTTATTAGTGCTATAGGACTGAAATGAAGATTAGCGTGCCAGTAAAACTTATATCAAGTCACTTTCATTTAAAGAACCAAAAGTTAAAAGTTTTACATTTTACAATCTGTACAAAAAAATTACACAATCAGTTTGATTCAGATAAAAAAAAAGCTCATAAAAAAAAAAATAGATAACATGTGTGTCCATAAGTCCAAACACTGTTACCTCTTACCATAATGTCGGCTTCCCGTGTGGCGTAGCGCAGATTTGGGTCCAGCCAGTACATCAGGGACTTAACTTGGTTCCAGTTGAGGAAGATGATGAAAACCAGGAACAGGAAGTAGAGAACACTGAGACCTAACCACGACAGGAAAAGAGCAAGTGAGGTTAAAGATACATGAAATGTGGATCTGATCAGAAAACATACGGTACTTTAATTTGATGCACAGTGACTTACCAAACACCATTCGCCATATCGCCGGATGTGGCCTGGTGAAAGGTCCTGATGAGGAAAGTTAGACAAAATAAAAACTCACTCACAATCCCCTGCTTGCTCTTTAATGTGTCCGGGCAGCAGTTTAAAACCAAAAGATTTTTGATCTACTGTGACATGAGATTAAAAAAAAGCAACAAATCCTAATATTTTGGAAGCAGATAAAAAGTTAGATTTAAAACACAAAAACTTCCATTATTAACTAACTTTAGCATCTGTACCATATATTTATTCACTGTTTAAGTACTTCTGGTTGGATGCAAACTGCATTTCGTTGTTTTGTACTTGTGACATGTGCAGAGACAATAAAGTTGAATCTAATCTAATCATCAGGAATATTCACCTTTATTGACGACGTGTGAACGATGGAGTCAGTGTGAGTGTCAGTTCTTGTGCTGTGTTTCTTACCATTAGGAAAAGCCAGGACACTGACGACCAAGAAGAAGGAAACCACCACAAAAAGACCAACTCGCAGATTGTTGTCTGAGTGCTCATCATTCCTGTTCACGAACCACAGCACATGTTCACAAAGGGAGGATTGTGTCCTCCACACACTCATCACTTGTGTTACACTGACACAGCTGCAGCTGGAAACTGACATTAACCAACTCTTCGCAGAAACAAAGAGGAATCAAGTCGTTTACCTGGTGAACGCAAAGTACATGAGGCTGAGCACAGTGGCCGTCAGCAGGGAGATGGTGTGCGGCTTGTAGAAGAAATCAATGCAGATTTCATCCACTTGTTGCTCGTTTATCGTCCGGAAATGTAGTTTATAGTTGGTGTCTTCCTCCCGCGGGCATCGGGAGGAAGCGGCGGCCATGATGTCACGGCTGGGAGTGACTTTCTGAGTTGTATTCGTGTTATTTTAGCAGCTTGTGCTAAAGCTAACAGCTGTAATAATTGGCAGGATGACGTGACAATCCGCGAAACCCACACACACAGAGAAAACCCTGGAGATGGACCGAACCACTGAGCTCACGGGGGGGGGGACTCCAGCGAAATTACACATTTATCTTTATCGAGTCAAACGCGTAAAATCATTTGAAGACGGTATTTTACAATAATCTTTACTAGAAATGTATCATTAAAATTGTTCCTGCGTAAAACAAATCACTGTTTTAAGTATGTTAAATGCACTAGTTCTTCCCCGCACTTGCCCCGAAGTGGTACATCCCTGGTTGTTTCCGTTGAGCTCTTCCGGTATCGAACACGTGAGAACAGTTGACATTGCGCGGTCAGGACCGAGGCTGATCTGAGGATGAAAACATTTGGATTCACGAACTGTGAGTAAAATATGAAGTTAAAAAATAACTTGAGACAACGTGTTTGACTTGAATCTGCATCGGGAAAGCATGAAGTCCTAATGGGAGGACTAATGATTCCACAAATCCTACACTGCATCAGTTTGCAATAGTATATGGTTTATTGTAAATACACATGAGCAAAAGCATGTGTATGATTAGAAATAGTTCATCTTTGTTGTCCATCGCATTTGACTGGCCTCACAAGTAAAATATACAATAACCACATGGCTATATATACAAGTGGTGGTAGATAAATTCTAAGCTCTACACTGTTTTTCTAATGTTCATTGCAGTTTAAATAATAGTAATAATAGTAATTAATATTTTTTATAAACTGGCTGGACACGTGTGTAAAATGTGGTTTGTATTATGACAATATAAAACCAAACCAGATTTAATGTGCCATGTTCATTTGTTCTCTGCAGAGTCATCATGGGGTCGTCCTCTGCACAGCTGTGTCTAAGATGCAGAAGTCTTCTTTGCAGCGTTCCACCGGCCTCAAACACTCTAGTTCGACATTGCACAATGGCCTCAAGCGCAGCCTCCAGAATCCTCAAAGGGACCTCAATTTTCACAGGGAATCACCGAACAACTCAGGCAAGACAGAGGTGGAAACAACAGATGTTATATTACAGTGACTTATCAGACAAACATCTGGCAACTGAGGCTAAAGAAGACAAGTTCACAGAAGAGTTGTCAAGAACGGATGTTGTGGCATACAAGAGCCCCCTGTCGCCAATCAGAGATGCGGTGCCAGTGAATGAAAACCAGATGCCATTAGGTGCATATTGATTTGCTGTTATTCACAAATAATCTACATTTATAAATGGATGAATTTCTGAGTTAATGTTCGTTGTCACTGGTACCATCTTTTAGATTATTTGATTTCAGCTCTATTGTTTTACTGATGGGTGTTGAATCTGTTCCTTTTGAATGTTCTTCATTTATCAGATCTGGATGCTGTTGCTGAATTTTCTGCATTAGAGGAGATCAATGATGAAGAGGCCATCAGTATATCTATTCCTGCAGCCATGCCTCCAGCCTCCACCTCACTTAGAGACTATGTTGACAAGTCGGAGACACTCAGCAAGCTGGTACAACTAGGTAATAAAATCAAAGCTGTTTGGAAGCACATATAGAACTGTAAAGGCAATTGTCTGTCCGCCCATTTCTATTATTCCTTTCATTTCAGGTGTGAGTCTGTGGAAGCTTGAAAAAAGGCCCAACGTGGGTTCCATGCTGCTGAGGCTGGACTTCAACACAGACGTGGCCCCAAGGCTGCTGTTTCTCAAAGGGATCGGGGTGGAGGAATCTCGCTTTGGCTATATCATCACACACAACCCCTTCATTCTCACAGAGAGTTTGGAAAACCTGCAGACCAGGTGATACGAAGAAACATCTATTTTCACCACAAAACGATGTAACACATACGCTGTATATTGTAGTGCTGAAAAGTCAGGTCTCTGTTAATAACATTTAGTTTTTTGGTCATTTGTGAAGGGTGAACTATCTCAAGTCAAAGAAGTTCAGCTCTGAGACTCTTGCATCCATGGTATCCAGAGCTCCGCATCTGCTAAACTTCAGTGTGAAGAGAATGGACAACAGACTGGGTTTTTATCAGCAGCAACTTCAGCTCAGTGCTTCTAATGTAAGCGTCTGTTTCCAAGTATCATCACAGTTTGTTGCAAGAGTGAATTTGTTGATGGAAAGAAGCAAATTATAACTGTGTTTGTTTCTCTTTCCAGGCCCGAAACATTGTCGCTCGTCTACCCAGGTTACTGTGTGGCAGTTTGGAGCCTGTTAAAGAAAATCTGAAGGTACTGAAATGACCATCCATGGTTTAAGTGACCTCTCCTGAGATACAGTGTTTAAATATTTTGATAAATGTTTGTGTCTGTGTTTAAATTTGATCCACTTAGGTTTGTAAAATCGAGCTTGGCTTTAAGGAGAATGAAATCCAACACATTGTTATTGCCGTCCCCAAAGTGCTGACCGCCAATAAAAGAAAGCTCACTCAAATATTTGACCTCCTCCACAACACCATGAAGGTGCCCCACCACCTGATCACCAAGTTCCCACAGGTACTTTACATGGCTGCTTGTTTGCTATAAGGGGATTCATTTTATCTGTGTTTCATTTATCCATATTCAGAATTAAAATTCAAGTATCTTTCCTCACATAGGTCCTGAACACCAAATACTTGCGCATCAGAGAACGCCACCTGTTCCTCGAGTACCTGGGAAAAGCTCAGTATGACACAACGCTGCCCAACTACATCTCCCTGGACCGCCTGGTGTCTTTACCAGATGAGGCTTTTTGCACTGAACTGGCTTCGGCCACGTTGGAAGATTTCTATATGTTCCAAAAGACACTTTGATTCTTTATGAAGATGCATAAAAGTGGACGTAAAATGAATACCATAAAGTCAAAACCACGTATACATGGATGTCTTTAAACAAGAAATGTAGTGCATAAATGGAGTTTGGAATTAAACCTTTGCTTTGTAAATGTGATGTTTAATAAATGCACACTGTGTATATAAGCTCCTCTATCTAAAACAACTGCATCTAATAAGACCATGAACATGATAAAGGTTTTGAATGCTTGTGGATTTGCTTCAGATGAGGGACTGTGTGAAATGATCATCTGTAAAATCATGTGTAATCAGAAAAGATAAAGATTTTCAATGTGGAAAAAAGCTCAGGCCTCACTTGGTGGGATTAAACAGCAGTAAGTACAAACACAAAGTATTTTCAATTTACATGAACATTTCCCTTTCTTGTGCTACATAATACTTTTGTTCTACTAATATTGTAATTTTTACACATTCAATTTTTGTTAGAAACTTTTCCGAAGATGGGAAAAAATATAATCTATGTGTTTGATCTTAAATTTAAAGCATCAATGGTCAAAAAACAGAAAATAAGTATATTTCACTGCTTTTTCTCAAATCTCAACCATGTGACACCAGGTCCTGTTCAACACCCACTACAATAAGACTTGTCATCATTTAGAATTTGTGATTTAAAAATTAACTTTCCCTAAACTGCAGAATCAGAAACTGGCGTCAGTGTTATTCTGCTGATTGATGTATCATCAAATGAAATCAGTCCTGAGCTCAGAGATCTTTTTTTTTTTTCATCATGAATTTCTTTTAGTTCCCAGTGATGAATGACACAGTCAACGTTCGATAACATACATTCAGTGGGTTTTTGTGATCAAACTAAATAATCAACCATCGATGGAAAGTTGCGCAATGACCAGTGACTTCATTTTCTTACCCATCATGCATTGCGCTCGTCCTTAGTGTTAAAGATGGCGTCGAGGGCACCAGGTATGTCCATGTCGTCCCTTCTTGATAATTCCAGTTTTAAACCCACTCTTCCAATGACAGTTGAACGTGTGTGGTGTTAAACGGACTGTTTCTTTTCTGATAACGTCGCGTCGTGTTCATTTAGTCCGTGTGAATTTGTGTCCCTGCGCGTTTGACTTGCGTGTGTCCTTCTGTGTCCCCGAGCTAGCTGCTGTGCTAAGGGTGATGAGCAGCTAACGTTAGCTTAGCATTAGCTGCTGGTGCTCATCATCACAGTGAAATAAACGCGATTTATTTATTTTATATCTACCCGCTCACTTCCTCGAAATGTTAACCCGACGGCTGCTGTCGCGTATAGCTCTTATTTAGCATTATGCTCATGTATGTATAGCTAATCTAATGTCTTCTACTGTTAGCTCCTTAGCATTAGAGGCGGTGTTGTGTTGTTTCTGCTGTCATTCTAATGCGTTGAAAATAGTATAATGTCGGATCGACATGCTATCAACTGTTTGTCATTCAGTTTGCAATGTCTTATTATCGTGTGAAAACTTTTTAATCAGCGTGACCTGAAAGTCCTCGGTGTGTCTCACAATGTTGACTTGGACAGTTTCAGTCATAGAGTCAGCAGCACATGACAGATATTTGCAGGTGTGTGTTAGTGGAGGAAGAAGTATTCAAATCAAAATGCTACTTAATTAAATGTATCATCATCATAATGCAGTGATGCCAGTATCATTAATAAAAGCGCTGCCTCTGAGGAAAATGGTCCTTGACGAGCGTACAGGTTGAGAACTGCTGTATCAGTGTGCAAGCAGAATACAACTGCAGTGTCTGTAGCTGCGTTTATTGACTTCTTTTATATACATTTATCTACTTAGTCCCAGACCCTCTCAACTCCGAGGTCATAACCCCTCCACAAGATTAATATAGAAAGAAAAAAGAACTGTTTAATAAAGGTGCTATAATCTTTGGGGAACTTTTTATAACCTTAAGTTTTAATTAACAGAAATTTTAATGAACCAATTTATGCCTCAAACCATCAAATTCTGTGGAGCACAGGAGTTTAGTTGCTTTCCACCTCTGAAAAATACTGTTGCACTCAGGTAGTAGTAATACTGTATCACTGCTTGGACCAGAACCCTTCCTTTCCACATTCTCCACAATCTTAAACATTTTCTTGTCACTAAAATCAGATTATGTGACTGATACTGTCTTTCTTCTTGCCCACAGCAGCGACAGGCAGGCTAATGCTTGGAGTCCGCAAATGGTATTATGGCATGTGTGGCTTCAGCAAGCTTGGTAAGGGCAAAGAGCAACCGACAACATGCTTGTCAGAACATAATGAATGAACATGTGTCTTTGTATTATTGATTTTCTCTCCAGCATCTTCAGCATCGCACATTTTCTTGTTTTCTGTGTCAGGTTTAATGCGTGATGACACAATCACTGAGGATTCAGATGTGAAAGAGGCCCTGAACAGGCTTCCAGAGAAAATGCTCAACGAAAGGATGTTCAGGATCAAGAGAGCCCTGGATCTTAACATGAAGCAGCAGATCCTCCCTAAAGATCAGTGGATGAAATATGAGGAGGTAGACTGAACACATTATTATTTGGTATTTTTTTGTTGAGGGTGAATGAATAAAAGGTACATAAGACTGCAGCATTTTTATTAGTTTCACATTGTGAGCTATATTAAACTGAGTGACTTTGCCAATAACCAGATCCTACCAGACTGAAAAAAGTGAATTCTCAGTGTAAAGTGATTCAGTGAGGTTTAACTAACAAATTATATTTTTTCCTGTAGGATATCAGCTACCTGTCACCATATCTGAATGAGGTGATCCGTGAGCGTAAAGAAAGAGAAGAGTGGATGAAGAAGTAAATGGTTCCTGATCAAATTATTAATCCTCATCTTGAATCCATGCATGTTTGTCCCCTGGTGTAATATTTAAAATGAAATGCGACCTATATAAGACAGTGCCCATTAAAGAAATATACATTTTCAAAGATTTGTAAGTGTCACTTTTTATAAAATGACAATGAAACAATTGCATGTGTACACCTGGTAAAATGTGTTGCATATTTTGATATTTAACTTTACAAATCCAGTTATATACATCATTTAAACCAGAATATAGACATAAGAACATATACATTAGATACAGGTAACAAAATATCTTGTATCTATACATAACCACTACAGTAGCTTCATCTGTGTCTGCACTTTGAGTAACAGACTATAGGAGGCAATACATTAACAGGAATTGAATACCTGTGTGATGATATAGTCAAACATATCTAGATTACCATCACAGTGATGACAGTTTGATAACACACTGCATTGGCACTATAAATAAAATATAGCCCATTCTACCAGGCCATTCATTTCATATCTAATCATCCTTCTGGGCCTGTGATCTCCTGTTGTCCACATCAGCTATGGTTCCTATAAAGTTCCCAATGACACTGTTGAAAGATTTTAGCATAGACACTCCCAGCTCGTTGTTGGTTTCATTAATGTCTGGATCATAGGCCCCCATGACTGGTGTGCACACCTTCACATTCCCCTTACCGCCTCCCTCCAGGATGCCCATCAGCTGACCCCTGACTTCCTGAAACAACTCCCTGTTGTAACTCAGTAGGACTGAATCATCAAGAGGGTAAGTAACATCCTCTGGGTAGCACTCACGGGGAACCGGTACCTCTATGTACCTTAACTTTGGAAAACCTCGAGACAGCATGGAGAATAGGCTCCGCAGGCCTGCAGAGGTCAGGGGGTTTCCCAGCAGTTTGAGCTCCTCCAGCACCTGACAGGGAGCGAGGGCGAGAGCGAAGGCGTCCATGTGCTCGTCTTCGATGTTGCACTCCTCGAGGGCCAGGCTGGCCAGTGTGGCTGAGCAGCGGCCAAGCAGTTTGTGGAAGCCAGTGGAGAAAGAGACGAAGATGTCGTGTCCACTGATGTCCAGGCGGACCAGGAACTCACTGTGGAGGCTGTTGGCCAGGTACGTCATGTCCACCCTGGTCAGACAGCAGTTGGCCAACTCCAAGCACTGCAGAGGAGTGTTGAGAGGACTGGATAGAGAAATGTAATGGTGTTGAATGAAAGCATATTGCAACACAATTGTACATATTTAATTTAGTGAGTAACAGGCAGACACACTAAAGCGGTTTGTGTTAGGAAGGATTTGTCATTTGCTCTTTGCAACAAATATTGAATTTATTTCTGTATGTCTGTTTTTTGTCATATTTTGCAATTTGTTTAAAATTATAAATGAAAAAATTACACGCCAGACTTTTATTGACAGCTCTATTTTATGTTCTTTTATTTGGTGGCTCTGAAATGCAAACCAAAACAACAAATCAAAAAGCACAACGGCGTGAACTTCAAACGGAAAAGACTTGTTGCTGATTGGATGGATGCACTGTCCATGTGTTTTGTGTTTTGTTATTGTGGTTTATTATTTGCAGTTGTGAATTTCACTTCAGGGCCACCATAGTTTCATCCTCCTGCTCTATTTCAAATTGAACTGTGAAGTTTATCTCACCAGCAGCTGTCTGTCCTCACACTGGCATATTTCAACTATATTAACAGCAAAATACCTCCCATTCTTTGTGCTGTGATGCTGCGAGAGGTTTTTATTTTGGGCTGCATTAGAGCTCATGAAGGTGCAATGTGCAGGTAAGATGGACACCAGAGACATCTATCATCAGTATCCATTTCTCATCCACGCAAAGGACTTCTTGTTCTCTGTCTATTCACTCACCTCAGCAGCCTGCGTAGTTGTCCAGTTAGAGTGGAGAATCCCATGTAGAGCTCAGTCAGGCTCAGCTGTGCCAGCAGGTTGCCGATGGTGACCATCAGATCATCAGAGACCAACCTCCGAACATCCAGCGCCCCAGCTGGAAGGGTCAGAGACTGGAGTTTGGGGAAATCCACCCTGGACAGCAGCACCTCCAGATGTGGGGCCTCCAGTGGAACATTGTGGACCACCTCAAGCTTTGTGATGGACTCGGGCTCTGCGAGCCGGAGAACATAGAAGAGCTGCTTGAGAGCGAGGGAATCGGCCCTAAAACTAATGAAACGAAGCTTCAGCGGACAGACTCGGAGGAGGAGGAAGGCCTGAGCCACAAGCTCATAGTTGCGGCCTGTAACAAAGCCATTCAGACGGACGTCAATGGACACTTCAAAGGCAGATCGGGACACATCATTGGCTTGCATGGCGACAATGGTCTCATAGCATATTTGGGTCAGGAGCTGGGTTCTTGCCCATCGGCCCAGGGTAGAGCGGCATGGACAGTCCTGATGCTCGATGTCTTTCAGGGCAGTGAGGTCCACCACATGGAGGCACTTGGCATAAGTTGCTGGAGGAGACAGCACGTAATCCTGAATAAAATAAAATAAAATTCATATAAGTTTGTTCGGACCAACTGACTGAAAACCCGGATAATGCATGGATGTGACAAGATTAGGATCAGATGCAGTTGCGAACAGTGATGTACCTTTAAGCCGGTCAGAAACGCCTCAAGACAAAGCCGACAGGTGCGTGAGGTAAGGTCCGTCTGACAGTCGACTGTTTTTCCTAGGAGCCTTTGCAAGTTGAGCTCAGGAAGAGGCCAAGTTTGGACCAGAGCGTGCAGCAAGTCGGCCTGCTCGTGAAGGTAGCAGGCCTTGAAGAGAAGTGGGTAGAGATTAAAAGACAAACAGTTGAGGTTCTCCAGAGCCGTTGGACCAGTCTGGGCGAAACACTCAGCAGCCAGGAATCGCAGGGACTTCATGTTTCCAGGCTGTTTTCCCCACTTGTTGCACAAATGAAAGTTTCTCAGTGGGAGCTGCTGTCAAACAGCTCCGCCTGCCAGTGTCTTCCCTCCGCAGCTTTGTGCTTTGTTGGTGTCCCTTGCTGTTGTCTATCTGGGTGTCGTGCGTTTGTCTGGGACTGGGCTCGCTGTGGTGAGGCAAGAAAAAGGCGCGGGGGTCTCGTGGTAGGTGAACGGGCTGAGGGTTATTTTTAGGAACAGCTGTCTCACGTCCTTTTGCTGGGACACGGTGTCTACTTGCAACTTTCACCAGAGAGATAAATGGGAAGAGCGTTTGAATGTGGCTGGGAAAGCTGTCTCACACACACACACACACACACACACACACACACACACA